GAGGAGGAAGAAAAAATACGCGCAACGCAAATAGTTTACTTTCGCACTACGTATACGTAACCGGCATCTCTGCGCGCCGCGTATATTTTCTTTTTACACGCACGCTAGGAAATTTACCATGATCTCTTCTGGCGCACACAATCACAGCGGGACATCGGACATACGGTATCGTATCGGCACGCGCGCTTATACAACGCGTTACATGCTGTGAATCGAGAGACGCGGCGGCAGCGGTTAATCAAAGTCGAAAATTGAGTTGTTCCGAGCTTCTGCTATATTAGACCGGCACAACTACGTGCCGTATCGCGATATCGTATCATACTTTATGGTTCAAGGATGTGTAGCACGCACAAACGTGTCCCTTGTGTCTTTGGAGCATCAACGCTGCGAAATGTCGAACGTAAAAGCTAAATTCTCTCGCATGAAAGGTTGGAATTCTCTCCGGAAAATCTGCGGCCTTGACGAGAAATTCATGTATGTATGTATCGCGCTGTTCGCAATGTATTTTTCGTGAAATAATTTCCTTTATTAAATATTTTTATCTCTATATTCTTTTATTAAATATTTCCATTTTATACGAATGTATAATTCCGCGAAAGCGGACGCTTATATGTTGCTTAAATTATCTACGGTTTTTTTTTTTTCCAAACATAAAACAGTGAGATAATGCGATATGCTTATATACATATAATAGATAGCTTACGAGTGCGACATATAATTTACCAAGTTGTCGATTTCACTCTAGTTTTTTCTCCCCTTTCGGAGATCTTATTTTACGCGACATGGCTCGATCCCTCCGCGCGGTTCGCAAGAGCGCGAAAAGCTGGAAAGAGTAATTATCCCGTGTTTCCAGATGCGCATTCACGCATTTTTAGCTCTAGCGTCTCGTGAAGGGCCGAGGGTACATGGCTGCGTACCACTGCTTGCGCATTAATGTTATCATGAATAATCTGAACGCCGCTCGCTGCTCGTAGACGCGATCTTTTTTTTCTTTTTTTTTTTAATTAGCCAGCATTAAACGAGAGGAGACTGCGACATTGCCGATGACAGCGTTAACGTTGACTTATACCGGATTTACAGTCGACGTATGGTCGACTGGGTCGGTGTGACAAGTCGAGTATACTCGACCAGTGTCAACGCTTTTAGTCGGGGTTAATTTTAGTCTAATATTAGTCGACTAAGCTTCTCAGCGATTACTACGCTACGTAAACTAAGCATATGACCTGGTTACAGTTTATTTGAGAAAAAAAGACCGTCGGCACCGTCGTGTGTCCCCATTCGATCGTTCAAACTTAACCGCCCGACGAATCTATTCTACGCGTGTCATTTTTCCTTTCTAACAACATCAACGATTGTAAGTTGAAGGATCGAAATCTTATCGCGTCAATGATCATCGAACGCGCGAAATTTGTCATGCGCGAAAGCGAGTACCCTCTATTCGGCTTCGCTTCTTAATGATTAACTTCGTAATACAAATCAGCCACTTGTAAAATTATGAAGGCGCGTTACAAAAATAATGCGCTAAAAACAACTCGCGCACTCTGACATTTTCTAAAATGTATCTATTGGGGTCGGATCTGATCCCGCCATAATATATAAAAAATCGAAGGTTGAAGAAAATTGGAAGCACCTTTTATGCGTGCAGTGCAGTCAGGAAAAAAATGGCCGTTTTTAGATCGACGCGAGTATTCGCGCAAAAATATTTCCGATCCATAAGATATAACTATTATGCTTATATATTTTGCTTATTATCCGATGCAACGGACACAAAGTGAATTCTATAAAAACTAATGAATGTCACTGGCTAATCCAAATTTAATGATCACGAGATAAAGTGACGATTAATCGAACTGAAACATAGAAACAAGATCGATAGCGCATACCTGTGTAGCCGCCAATCCAACTACTACAGTAACAGCGATCTAATGAGACGAGGAATGGGATTAAGCGATAACAAACTGTGCAATCCCTTGATTACCTACGGGTACTGCAAATCCGATCAAAAACGTGTCACACCGAGAATATTTTTTCTCAAGCCGCTTGATAACGAGTCTTATGCTCCATGACATTTGCTAGCATCCCGAGAACTTTTAACCCGGCAATGATCGTACGGGGGTTTTTTTTTTTTTTTACTACAGAAGGTCGCGTAGAGTGTTTTTAGACCTGATTTAAAAATCACTAATAATATATTGTGTTGTTAGTATTCTAGACCATGGATGTCAATTTCTTTATTATTTTCTCAATGTAGATTTTTCTTCTACGGAGATAAAAATATATTAAGGAAAAATACGGAATATTGAGATCAAAAAATTCCCTACGAAACCATTCCTAAATATCACATTTATTAGCGTCCAAAAAGTTCTATTATTTCGTTTTTATCGGCGATCACGCTCAATCACTTTCATTGTATACGTCAACGTAATTATAAGATCCTATTCGACTAAATGAGATTCAAATATATCACGTATTTTTCCGGTCACAGATATGTATATGGAATATGTACAAGGTACATGTACAGGTTACGGAATGTTGCATAATATTGTATTTGGTGAAGCAATCGAACGTCTGTACGCGAGTCTTAATTACGCGATTCGCTACTCGTTGTCGATGGCTTTGAAGGAATTGCCTGGGATCGACCATGCTTTGAGAACTTTGCTCCTAGCTCTGACTACAGTTTAGCGAACTTTCGTAAGAGAGATACCGCGCCGAATAATCGATACCGCGAAGCCACTCGCCGTTGGTAAACCTCCGCTTATGTAAGGCAAAATACAATTGGAACGAGCAAATCGGCGAAGAGAGCATTTCGATATTTGAAATGTCTTAACACTAACGGAATTGTATGTATCTTATAAAGAATGCAGGAGTTCGCAGAATTGAAAAAATTTAAAACAATTTCATCTTTCTGTTCAAATATTCGGAGAGTCATGGTAATTGCGCGTAAAATAGAAATAAAAACCCAATGATGTTAAGAGAGAAATGTCTATTAATTTATCTTAAAACTGAAAGAAGATTACAAATAATCATCTCCACCATCTTTGTAGTAAAGTCCGTCTTCCTTAAGATTATCGACTTTAAAGCTCCATTGACAAATGCAGCGGTGTAATCCGATATTCAACATAGTCTCATTCATCCACGCATTAAGTTCGATACGCCACAAATACGGCGTTTTATTTACACAAGGAACTAGCTGATACAGCCGTTGCATTAATTTTATGATAATTTAGAGAATTAAAATTTCATGTCACTTGATTAGATTTTGATCTTTCAAAACTAATAGCTTAATTTATCCATATCCACTTGAATCTGTTCACGTAGAGCAAATTCATGTACATTCGAATGTGTTAACGATCCCCGCAAGAGTCATATTTTTTCGTTTGCGTAATTAATTGTATAGTTCCTCTGCTTCATGTTCTCGAGGAACGAGAAAAATTAATGAATCACGTGTCACGAAATGTCCTTGCGACTTATGGACTCTGGGGATATCATTAACGCATACGACTATACACTCGTATTTTTAACATCAACGATGGTTTCTATAATTTATATTTTGTACATGCTGAAAGTAATAAAAAATAAATGATTAAAATATTCCGAAAAGAAGAGAAATTTTATGAAACAGACTTTTAGATTTATTATCTAACGCTCTAATTTTGCGCTTTTAAATGTTTTAATGCGGCTTTGAATGTTCACTCTATCAACAACGCAACTCGTGTATGCATTTTTAATTTCAAAAATTTGTAAAATCTCCGAATCTTATTATATTATTTTTGCCTTTAACATAGAATTACATTTTTTTATATGAAAAAATAGCGCGAATACACGGAAAACACCTGTTTCAAAACAATGTCAAAACAATCTCTGCCGTAAAAGTTCCTAAGCCTCTCTACGGTCGGACACCACCCTTTACGCCACTCGGACACGTAGTTTTGCCTTATTCAGTGTTTCGGCCGTGCACGTGAAATGTTCACTTGGCGAATCGCCAGCAAAAACGAAGCCTGCTACCGAGTCGACTTATTTTCACGAGGCTGAAAGCTTCGGTAACATCCGTGATTCGCGGACCGAAAATAACGCCAACAGTGTAAACATTGGCAAGTTATAATCGATGCGAAGTATCGATCAATGATATTTCGGCGAAGTGCGAGCATCCTGTCGGCTTTTCGTGAGAGAAACGATGAGACTGATCGCGAATGAAGTTTATTCTCTTTATCCCGGGATATAATCTTCCAAAGATAAATCAAGGTTTAACGAATATAACGTACCATATATGCGTTACATATTTGCGTATGGAAATTGTTTCGGAATGTCGATATCTTCGCGAGAATGACGAGATTCAAAGAGATTACAGATGGATTCATTTTTCGAAGGAATCTTTAACGTCAAATTGTCACGACTGTTGCGAAGTTCAGCGAGATGATAACCACGTAAATCTGTACAATTATTTCTTGACATTGAGTAAATTTATAAAATTTTTAGCGTCACGCAAAACCCATAAACTATTAGAGGAATCCAGAATTAGAAACGAAATAATACACGTTGGTTGTAAAACCGGTGTGTCCAGACTCGGGTGTCGACTCTCGCGCAGAGTCACATCGTCGTTGTTTGTAAACATTTTTTTCCGCTCGCAACACGCGAGCCGTCGCGGCGCTCGCACGTTATTGCGAGGGAAATCGAGACGACGGAGTTTCGGAGTATGAGACGGTCGAGAAGGAAAATATGCGAAAGAAGAAGGGAGAGGCAGGAAACGGGGAGAGGTCCTCCGACGGAACGAACGAACGGACGGACGGACGGACGAACGAACGAACGAACGAACGAACGAACGAACGAAAGAACGAAAGAACGAAAGAACGAACAAACCGACCGACCGACCAACCGACCAACCGACGGACGGACGGACGGACGGACGGGCGGGCGGGCGGACGGACGGCCGCAGCGACCGCCTCCCGTCATATCGAACCGCACATACCGTCGCCGGAAATCGTACGGCGGTGAAGCGTACGTACCTGGGATCCGGCAGAACGATCTTTTTGCTGGCACGGGCGGCCGGCGTGCACTTGCTCTTCTCCATGGCCATCAGGTAGCTGACATCGGCCAGCACCGCCTCGAGGTCCGCCATTTTCCTCGGTGGTCCTTTTGTCGGTGGTCGCAAACACGATGATTATTCCTATGTCGTCGTCAAAAGAATCCTGCCTCTTCCAGTCTCGTTCGGACCCAGGCACACCAGCAGCCGAGAGCC